AGTGGGAGCAGAGCTGTGATGGGGGTGCACAGGTGCTGGGGGAATCCCGAGGGGGTCTTGATCCAGCCTGGGGCATCCAGGAGGGCTTCTGGAGAAGGTGGTAGCTCAGTTAAGACCTGAGGGTGAGGGCAAGGGCCGAGGTTTGTTGGGGAATGAGGAAGGGTGTGCCGGGTGGAAGGGACAGTGTGTACAAACACTCCTAAGGGAGTCAAAAGGCTGCAAGAAAGGGTACCAAGCAGCAAACAAAGTGTGGCAACAGGGGCATGGCGTGATGGGGTTGGCAGAGGCCAGGTTGGTGGCACTTGAGGCTATGGTTAGAAGTCTGGGTGTTCATGGACATTGATGGAAGCCACGGAGGGTTTTAGAGCAGAGGAGGAGCACGGCTGGGCTGAGGAGTCCTGGAGTGAAGGGAGGAGTCCAGAGCGAATCAAAGCTCAGCCTGGGGTGGGGGGTCTTGTGGCTACAACCTGAAGGCCGAGTTGACAGGTGGGCTGCAGGGAAAGGGTGTAACTGGTGGGGGGACCCGCATTGAGAAAGTCTCAGAGGCCTGAGGCTGTGCATTCCAAGATCTGCAGTAACTGGTGGGGAGAGATAGCAGGAGGGGCACAGGGTCACATTGTGGAGGGCTCAGAACACAGAGCAGAGGAGCTGGGAGCCCTGGCAGGTGTGTGAGCAGGGCAGGGACATGCCAGATCTCGGCGTCTCAGGCTCATTTGTGAGGCCAGTGTGGGGGACACACTGGCGGGGGCAAGCTTGGCAGCCTGAGCACCGAGGGAGTGTGGACTCTGGGCTCAGTTGAGAGCCAGGCTCTGGCATGGAATTTGAACCCAGCCCAGCCACCTCCTCAATGCGTGGCCCTTAGTGAGCAGTGACCCCTCTTAGAGCCTCAGTTTCCTCATCTGTAAAACAGAGGAGGAGCACTGGGAACATTTAATGGGGCTGGGCCTGACGCCCCATCTACCTGCCCCACCCACCCACTCCTGGCTTTGGGGGCCCTTAGGGACAGCGTCCTGAACTTTCATGTCCTCCCAATACAAATCAATAGTCAATTAAAGCCAGATCCCTCAGTATGGACCTCAGTTCCGGGAAGGGTGGCAGAGCTGGTCCCACCCTGCCCCACCCTGGCACATGTCCCAGTGCAAGAGACATTGAAGCTTTAAGAGGGAGAGGGGCTTGGTCAGAGCCACCAGAGTGCACCTGTGGCCACAGAGCTAGAGCCAGGGTGGGGGTTTGCTGGTCAGTGGGGTTCAAGCCATCAGTCCCAGCTGGACTGACACCAGAGTGAAAGAGGGGTCCAGGAAGGCTGGAGGGTTCTGAACTCCTGGAAATAGGGTTCCAGGCAGCGAGGACAATCCGTGGGCCCAGAAGAGAGACAGCGCTGGAGAGGTGTGGCGGGGGGGTGGGTGCGAAGCAGGGAGAAGTTGTGCAGGGTTGGGCCACACTGCCAGTGTTGCCAGCCTTAGTTCCCCCTGGTCTAGGGCCATGGGAAGTCCCCAGAGGGTTGGGATTGGGCAGATTAGCCCCCAGACTCTCCCAGGACAGGATAGACCCTGTGTTCTGAGCCTGTCCTGGGGGGGTCTGTGAGAGGCACCCACGGCGTCCTCAGGCCTGAGGAGACCCCGCCTCGTGAGAGTGACACAGTGTCTTAGCTGCTCAGCTCTGGGTCATAATCACCCCTTTATGCTCCTTGGGCCGCGTGGGCACACAGAGCCGGCTCCAAGATCGCGTGACCCACGCCCTGGCGCCTGCTTGGAATGGGTGCCCACTCGCCCCCCATCAGGGCAGCACGGGAGCCCCCAGAGGCAGCTCAGCAGGCTGCACCTGGCCCCGAGAGAGATCACACAGTGGCTAGAAGAGGACACAGTCATGTGATTCAATGTGGGCTCCAGACCCGAGGTCCCACCACAGCTGGGGGACTTGGGCGAATCCCTGCTCCTCTGTGAGCCTCAGTTTCCTTCTTGTAAAAGGTAGAGAGACCCACCTCCAGCCAGAGGCTGTGAGGAATGGCGGCAGCTCGGCACCTGCCACAGGGGAAGCCCCTGGATGATGGCTGGGTTGGGCAGGCAGGGACCCTCCCTGGGGCACAGGTTCTAGGTACGGCAGCCACTCTGTTCCCTCTCTCTCCTGCCCCCCATTCAGCCTCATTTGCCACCTGTCATCTCCCCATGGGCAGCCATTCCCTTCCCACGGGCCACACCATCCCCTGGGAGCTTAGGGATTGCTGGACCTGCCTCAATTTTCCCATCATGATGGCAGTGCTGGTGGCTCACGCTGCTTTGTTGCAAGAGGGGTGGAGTGAGGGGTTGGCCTGGTGCCAACCTGGCCACGTCCCTCCCTGCCCAGGGCTGTGCAGGGTTCCTGGCTGCCTTGTGGGTCCAGTCCACACCCTCTTCCCTGCTCTTCTCTCTCCCCAACTCCCTCTGCGAACCTTTAAGTGCTGCCCCTTGATCTTCCCCAAGCTGTTCCTTGTGCAGAGACTCCCTTGCCCCCGATTCTCAGTCACCCTTTAGTCTCCAGCCAATTAATAATAATAATGTTTTTTTATTTTTATTTTTTTATTATTATTTTTGTTTGTTTCTTTTTTGTGACCGGTAAGGGGATCGCAACCCTTGGCTTGGTGTCACCCGCACCGCGCTCAGCCAGCAAGTGCACCGGCCATTCCTATATAGGATCCGAACCCGCAGTGGGAGCACCGCTGCGCTCCCAGCACCGCACTCTCCCGTGACCGGTAAGGGGATCGCAACCCTTGGCTTGGTGTCGCCCGCACCGCGCTCAGCCAGCGAGTGCACCGGCCATTCCTATATAGGATCCGAACCCGCAGTGGGAACACCGCTGCGCTCCCAGCGCCGCACTCTCCCACCAGCACCGCACTCTCCCGAGTGAGCCACGGGGTCGGCCCAATAATAATAATGTTAAATACAGAAGCAACACGTGCAAATGTCCTGAGGCAGGACTGTGCCCTGAGGGCCGTGGACAGAGAAGAGACCTGGCTCAGGTACTCACAGGTGCCCTATGGCTGCTGTGGGGGTGGAGGGAGCAGGGCAGGAACTGGGGGACCAGAGTGTAGGTGATGGGCTGGTCCAGGTGGGTGCTGATGGGGTGGGCCAGGTAGAACCAGAAGAAAGTGTTAAGAAGTGGGCAGATCTGGGGTAGATTCTGGAGGCAAGGCTGGTGGGACTTGGTATTTTCCCAGTCCATTGCAGAAGACCCTACACCTGGGGTCTTCCAGGAAGCGAGAGTCATGGGCTTTGCAAGATTCTGTCCCCATCATGGGAAGTTCCTGCAGGGAGAATTGGAGCCTAAGAGACCCTAGAAACTTTTGTCTTCTGTGGTGGTGTCTGAACCCCATTCCCCCAGTGTCTGTCCTACTCAGTCACCCCTATTCTTGCTTCATCATCCAGGCCTTGAAAACCCCCATTGTTGTGGCCACCACGCTGCCCCCAGCAGGCTGGAGTGACGGATTTGGGGGAGTCCATGGGTGAACCCTTCCTGCGCCTGGCTAAGCTCCATCCTGCCCATCCATCAAGAAGGCGTGGACCCAGCAAGGCTTGGGCTTAGAGAGCCAGGGAATAATTAGGGGCCGCCCGGTTTAGAAGGCGGCTGCTCCTGGCTCCCATGGGGAATGGGGCTGCAGGGGAAGCTGCTGTGGCTGGACCCTCAGTGCAGGTAACCCTCACCCATGCCCTCTGGGCTGCAGGCTTGCTGTGCTGCCTCAGTTTCCCCAGAGGCTCTCCAAGGGCCTGCCCAGCTGACCCGAGTGGTCTGCATCTGGCCTCCTTACTTCCCAAATGTAGCCAAGCAGATGTGCATCTACGGGCGGAGCCAGCCACTGTGGTCACCCTCCCCCCAGCTGGCCATGGGGCTGTTTTCTCCAGTTGGGGCCACCGCCTTTCTCCTTGGCTACTTTTGCTCTTAAAGGGCCCAGGATGGGGGCTTAGGGCAAGGGACCAAGTCTGGGCTTCATTTTCTCCATCTGCCTGGTCCCCAACTGGTTGTGTCCAAGTGCATATTTGCAGTCTGACTGTGTGTGTGCACAGATGTGTACAGGAGGGGGATCTGTGTTTGCACGTCTCTATTTGTTATCTAGCTGGGTGCACATGTGGTCTGCTGATTGTGTGGCCTGTCCTAGTCTGTCTGTGGTCTCTGTGTGATGTTTACCTGCTTGTGTGCCCGTAGATCTCTGATTTCACTGTGTTTGTATTCGCCAGCGGCCTGACCATGGACCTGTTCATCAGAGTTGAGACTTAGCTGGGGTTGGGGCTCAGCTGGGGGTTGGGGGCTGCGGTAACAAAATACCACAGACTGGGTGGTTTATAAACAACAGACATTTGTTTCTCACGGATCTGAAGGCTGGAAGTCCAAGATCAAGGCACGGGCAGATTCGGTGTCTGCTGAGGGCTGTTTCCTGTTTCAGAGACAGCGCCTTCTCTCTGCGTCCTACATGGCAGAAAAGGCGAGGGAGCTCTCTGGGGCCTCTTTTATAAGGTCACTAATCCCACTCAGGAGGGCTCTGCCCCCATGACCTTATCACCTCCCAAAGGACCCACTTCCTAAAGCCATCATTCAGGAGATTACATTTCAATGTATGAATTTTGGGGGGACACAAACCTTCGGCCTATAGCAGGAGCCTAGCACTTTCTTCCATCCATCGCCCCATGACCCTTTCCCATTTTTCTGTGACCCTATGCCGCCCCCCACCCCCGTGACCCTTCCCCATCGCTCTGGGATCCTCCCATTGCCTCCTCCATGAAGGTCCCCCCGGGAGCCTAGCACTTTCTTCCATCCATCGCCCCATGACCCTTTCCCATTTTTCTGTGACCCTACGCCGCCCCCCACCCCCGTGACCCTTCCCCATCGCTCTGGGATCCTCCCATTGCCTCCTCCACGAAGGTCCCCCCTATTTCCTCGCTGCCCTCTCTCATGGCCACTGCCTTCTCTCTGCAGACGCTGCCCCATCTGACGCTCGGCTCGAGGCCTCTCCGTGAGGGACCGGGGGCCATCCCCGCTCCAGGGTGGAGGTCGGAGGTCACTGCCAAGCATGGCGTCTGCCTGGGGCCCTGGCGTGGCATCTGTCGTTGGTCCCATGGGCCTCCTTGTGGTCCTGCTAGTCGGAGGCTGCACGGCAGAAGGTAAGATGCGGTGCAAGGGTGCGGGAGTCGCATGTTTACAGGTGTGTGTGTGTGAACACGTGTCCCCACCTTTTCCCCAGGGCTCCCCGTTTGGTGAAATGGAGCTTCCGTGCTCCGTGTATGAGGCTGAGTGCCTGCTGTGTGCTGGGCCCTAAGAGATTCAGAGATAAATAATAGCAATGGCATTAATAAACCAGCGATGGGAATGATGTTGACAGTGTCTGTTTCCCCAGCGCTAACTGTGCACCAGGCTTGGTGCTGAGCACAGACATTACCTGCTGCATGTACTTTGAGCCTCATAAAACTCAATGTGTTGGTTCTGTTACCTTCCACATTTCCTGATGAGGGAAACTGAGGCTCAGAAGAGGCAAGGACTTACTCGAGGTCACTCCTGAATCAGCCACGGTGTTCACCTTCCCTTGCTGTGAGCTGAAACGCCAGCACCCAGTGGCAGACACACAGGCAGAGAAACCTTCCCAGGAAGAGCCAGAGGAGGCTTCTTGGGAGAAAGGGCATTGGGGCTGGGGTTTTGTGTGTGTATAGGAGTTCGCTGATGGAAAGGACATTTCTGGTGGAAGTGACAGCACATGGAAAGGCTGGAGGTGAAAGAGGTTGGTGTAGTTTACAGATGGGCAAGGCTGCATTTCTGGCTGTAACATGAAAAGGATGAGGGTCAGTTTCAGGCCCAACGCCAAGACCCACCCCACCAGGAGGGACCTAGAGGAGGCATCACTCAGGCCTGTGGGGACATAGTGGGTCACGGCAGTGGGGAAAAGAAAAACTGGGTTCCGCATTCAGGCTGTTTGAATCCTGGCTCTGCTGCCGACCTACTATGTGATCTTGGGCCAGTGACTCAACCTACCTCACCTGCTATTTCCACCTTGATTGAACGGGGCTCCCAACATTGCCTGCATCCCAGTATTCTTGTGCCAAGGTCCTGCAATAAGCCCCTGCCTGCTGCTTGGCATGTAGTGGGCCTGCGACTCTGTGTCACTGGAAGCATAATAAGTATTGCTGCGAGGTGAGGACCCTGGAGACATACTCCCTTGCCTCGTCCTTTCATGCTTTTTCTGGTTTTCATGTTGGTTTTAGTCCATGCCTTACACATTCCGGTCAGTCACCACAACCTGATGGGGTGGGGTGAATGCTGTTATCATCATCCCCCATGTACAGCTGGGGAAACTGAGGTACAGCAAGATGAAGTCACAGCCAGGAAGCAGTCATGGTGAGATTTGAATCCGGTTGCCTGGTGCCAGAGCCTGGTTCCCAGCCCACACCGCCTTGGTGCCAGCGGCCAGGCATGGGTGGGCTGTGATCTGTCCAGCCACCCCCACGGCCTGTGTCTTCCTGAGCTCTGTTCCCTGCAGTGGGAATGGCAGGCCACAGGTGCTGAGCATGGTTCGTTTTTCATTTACTCATTTAATTCTGGGTTTCTCCACCTTGGCACTGTGGACATTTGGAGCCAGATCATGTCTGTGCTGGGGACTGTCCTGTGCATTGCAGGACATTTAGCAGCATCCTCGGCCTCCACCTGCTCCATGCCAGGAGCACCCTACCCTCTAGTTGTGACAGTCCAACAAGCCTCCAGACAAAAATGTCTCACCCCCAGGTGAGAATCACTAATATAACTTAGCTGACTGAATAAATAATATATATACAACTTCAACGTCTTGTTCCCATAATAATTATCAGTCTTGGGCATGATATGGTATCTTATTTATCATTATACTGAAGCCTCAACAGCCCAGGAGCTGGGATTGTCCTCATTACAGGTGGGGAAACTGAGGCAGCATGGTGGAGGTCATGGAGTTTGGAGACTTCTCCAACCTGAGTTCGAATCCTGGTTCCCGTGTATTCATTCAGTGAGTTTTTAATAAGCATCTACTGGTTGCCAGGTGCTGTTTTAGGCACAGGGGGCAAACCAAACATCCCACCTCCTCACAGAGCTGATATGCTAGTGAGGGAAAGACATTTATGTGTACGGCATGGTGGGGTACTGGGGAGCAAAACAGCAGGAAAGGGGACGAGCATGTGAGGGGAGAGTTTGGGGCTGCATTTTAAGTGCGGGGTAGTGTCAGGGAAGGTTGCAGTGACGAGGTGACATCTGAGCAGGGACCTAAAGGTGCTGAGAGGTATGCCCCATGAGCATCCAGAGGAAAGGTGTCCCAAGCAGAGGGCACAGCATGTGCAAAGGCCCTGAGGCAGCACCGTGCCTGGCGTGTTGAAGGCATATTGAGGAGCCCACGTGGCTGGAGCAGAGTGAGGAGGAGGAGACAGGGAGGAGGGAGGGGACGGGGCAGATTGTGCGGAACCTTACAGGCTGCGGGGAGGACTTGGGCTATTCCCTGAGGAAGGTGGAAGCCATGGAGGGCTGTGGGCAGAGGAGAGAGGGGACCCGATGAGTCACAGGTGGCTCACGGGTGACCTCTGGCTGCTGCAGGGAGAACAGACTGTAGGTGGGAGCCAGGGGACCGGGGTCGAGGTGACTGCTGGTCCAGGTGGATGGTGAGGGAAGTGTGACCCAGGATGTCAGCACCCAGTGTGTAGCCGTGACTTGCTCAGTGGCTCTGTAATCATTACTGCTGTATTACTGTAGGTGTTGGTAATGACCTAGACTCAAACCCAGGTCTCCCTTCTCCAAGGCTGGGGCATGTCGACCACAGCAGGTGAGTCTGTTTAGCAGGAGCCCTGTTGTGTGGGATCCAGCAGCGGGGCTGTGGGCACTGTGGTTGGCACTGACAGCTTCAGGAGATGGCCTAGGTCTTTGGGGAGCAGATGAGTGGGGGCCGCAGCCCTCGGAGAGCCCCAGGCAAGCAGCAGAAATGTTCACCAGCCAGCAACAAGAGGGACAATTTATGCTCCATAAACAGCTTCTGGCCCAGTGGGGCCTTCCCAGGATGCTGTGGGACTGGCTTGGGCGGGGTTGGAGGGGACAGGGTGGGTGGGTCACCAGCTTTGGCACCAGAGTCTTCTCTGCAGAATCTAACATGGAAAAACAGAAATCGGGCCAAGCCAGGCTACAGAGTGGGAGGCTCAGGCCCCAGCCTCCAGAGAGGCCTGGATTCCCTTCCCAACCTCTGCAATGTCGGCATCACCACTCTGAACTTCAGTCTCTTCATCTAAGAAATGGGGACACCCATGGTGCTTGTGGTTGGTGAAAACCCACAACCCCATTTATCCAGCATGCACTCTTTCCAGTCCCCTGGAGCCGGGTGGGACTGGGTTGGAATCCTAGCTCTGCCTACCACGAGCTGTGTGACCAGCAGCCAGTCACTGACCCTTTCTGAGCTTCGGTTTTGCTCCTCCGTGACACAGGCATGAGAACAGTGCCGAGCCCTGCCAGGCCTAGCAGCTCGTGAGTGCTTGCTGTCAGGCCCAGATGTCCTTCCTGTGGCTCAGCCCCTTCTCTGAAAAGAGGGGGGATGGCTTGTCCCAAGGAGAGCTTTTAAGCATCCGCAAGAAATTTTCTAATGGGGGACTCAGTGTGGGTAGAGAAAGCTCTTCCAGGCTGGCTCGGATCCCTGAGTCGCCTGGAGATAGACTGAGAAGGCATCTGCTCGGCAGAGGGAGAGCATTTGGGAGGTGTAACCCCTCCAAGCCCAGGAGCAAGTGGGTAACAAGGTCAAGAGCTTCATTTTCTCCAGGGTCACCAGATACAGAGGAGGCACAGGGTCCTAGGGGACAGGGACTGCCCCTTGCCCTTCCTGCAGGGTACCACATAACCAGGTATCGCAGCCCAGTGCGATCAGGGCCTTGATGGGGGACACACCCTGGCAGGGTGGGGACATGAGGGGATCCTGACCCAGCCTGCAGGAATCTGAGGAGGCTCCCCAGGGGAGGTGCTGGCCGAGCTGAGGCTGGAGCTGCCAGATGCAGGGAGGAGAAAGGGGGTGCAGGAGGGAGGAACAGCACAGGGGGCTGAGTCCAGCTCCCGTCCTTCCTCGCTCACTGGATTGAAGGGTGCATTGGGCGTCTTCTGGCTCAGAGTCATAAACAAGCCACTGGATGCCTCTTTGCTACCCACAGCCAGCTTCTGCCCTGCCTTCCAGCAGCTCCCGAGGGACAGTTTTACCAGAAGTAAGATTCTTGACCTGGCTGCAGTGACTTTTCCCCATGTCCTTGGCTGGGGACACATATGGCCCCTGGTCATCATTCCTAGGAGAGGAGGGGGCAGCCCAGGCAGTCAGAACCAGGGAGGCAGGCCCAGCCTGGGGCTCAGCATGGAGCAAGGCATCTGCCCTGATCAGGATCAAAGCCAGGATGTGATAGGAGTGAAAGATGTGAGCTCAGGACAAAGACCCGGGTTCAAATCCTGCTGCTGTCATTTCTGGGCTCTGTGACCTTAGGCAAGCCTGTTAATGTTCTTGAGTTTGTACACTGGGATTACCAGTCACTGCCTTAGAGGGATACACAGAAGTTGAGCGCAGCCACACATGCCTATGTATACAGTAGGTCTAGGATTTTCAAGAGAGATGGCCAATGCAGACACATATGGTCGTATCAACAGGAGCAGACCTTGCATGACGGAGGTGAGACTTGTCCGGCCACTAGGGCAGGGACTGTGTTTTATTCAGAGCCCAGCCTGAGCCATGGATAGGAGGAGTTGGGGCCTCTGAGCAGCTAGATTTGGAACCTGAGGCCTCCTTGAGCTTTTCTGTGCTTCTGAACAGTTGGAGCTTTCCAGAACTTTCCAAATAAACCCATGCGTTCCCTGCACTGACTCCACCCATTTCCAGCCGATCCTGGAGGCCCAAAGACAAAATGTTGCTCAAGTTTGCTCAACCTCTGCCTCTCCTCAGACCCAGACTTTTACTAACTTAAAAAAAAAAACTTTTATCTAGCTCTTTTTCTTTAATCAGCTCACTTTTTTGTTTAAACAATTTTATTTTAAAAGATAACTTCAATTTATCTTTAAATAGTTTTAAATCCAAAAAAGCATCCAGGTACAAAGTCTCCTTCCCTGTGTCCAGTGACTCAGTTTCTCTCCCCAGAGGCAGCCACTGTTCCTACACACGCACACGCACACACACCACACACACCACACACGCTTCCCCATTTTCTTTTTCCTTATGATACAACAGTAGCATTTGCTATGCTTTTTTACCCCTGACCTTTTTTTTTTTTTTTTGCATTTAGTAGTAAATGTTCCATCAATAGCAGTTCATTTAAAAAGCATCTTTGCCGCTTTTTACAGTTGCATAGTATTCCACTGCACGGATATCCCGGTATTTGTTTGCTCAGTCCCCTTTTGTTGGATATATAGGTTGCTTTCTAGGGGACCTTGTAAGTATGTTGTAGCCCTTGAGTCTATTCCTAAGAATCTCAGATTCATTCAATTCTCAGTTCATTTTATGAGATACATTTTAGCATTGCTGGGAATGGAAACCCAGTATCCCTTCTGGTGATTCAAAGTTACTGAGAAAATAGTCAATAAAAAGAAAACAAGGTTAATGAATTCTGGATAGACACTGTAGCCTGTCCTGGCAGAGGCTGTTGAGGCTGCTTAAGGTGTTAAAAGACATAGTAACTCCCACTTGAGACTTTCTTGGAGAGATTTAATACATCTGATCGTCATTGTGGGGGATGGAGAATGGGGGTGCGAGAGCCACAGCCTGGAGAAATGAGCTTTGTTCAGCTCAGCCACTGGCTGCTGTGTGTGTCCAACCAGAGTAAGTGCCTTGCCTGGTCTGTGCCTCGGTTTCCTCACATATAAAACGGGGATTATGGTGACCCTGCCCCTGTGTGCTGTTGGAAGGATTAGATGTCACTCACCCTTTCTGAGCCCCTGCCTGCAGCTCAGATCACTCTCTTAAGCCCTGACTCCTCGTGTCCAGCCACCTCCTGGACGCCTCCCACAGACCGAGACTCTGGAGCTCTGGGTTCAAATGCTGGCTCTGATGCCATATCCCATGGTCCCTTCCTACATGGTGCCTCAGTTTCCCCACATGTCCCACTAGGGAATTAGATCAAGTTATCCCCTTCTAAATTTTTTAAGGGCCCTCCAGGGTTGGGCTGGTCACCACTGGGGGCCTCCATGTGCTGAGTTTGGGGACCCCAGAGTCTCAGGGGTTTCCCTTACACCAACTCCTGTGGCACTGGGTCCGAGTGCGTGTGCCCAGGTGAGGTTATGTCCGCATGTGAGCGTGTGTGGCTGCTGTGTCCAGGTGGGGATAGGGGGCCTTTGTGGGCCCCCAGATGCCATGGGGTGGGGGTGGGGAGGGCATTTGGCGGCAGCCTGTCATTTTCACCTTCCCCTTCTCTCTCTAGCCCTCCCATTGGGCCCACGTGGTACCTCTGTGGCTGGATGGGGGTAGAGGACATGTTTGCATGACTCTGTGGGGTCCTAGCCACATGCCTGGACCCACCAGAGTCCCCCATCTTCCTGCTGTATCCCCAGAGCCCCCCAGGTTTATCAAAGAACCCAAAGACCAGATTGGTGTGTCAGGGGGCGTGGCCTCCTTCGTGTGTCAGGCCACGGGCGACCCCAAGCCACGGGTGACCTGGAATAAGAAGGGCAAGAAGGTCAACTCTCAGCGCTTTGAGGTGAGTCAGCGTGGGGGGGAGGAAGCCTTGGGCCAGAGTTCCCCCCGTTCCCCTCTAGATGAGGCCACAGCCACTCAGCCATGGGAGACATCACAGATGCCATCCCCACATGGGGAACCATCATGGACAGCCGTGGCTGGGCACCCTCTCCCACTCCCTCCCTGCCATGTGGCCCCACCTGCCTGCTCAGTGAGGGCTACTTTAGTGCTGTGTGTCCTCAGGCAAGGCCCTGCCCTCTCTGAGTCTTTTCTCACACACAGCACCACTGCACACAGAAGGAAATTCACAACTCTGAGTGCATGCACGTGATCAGGCACACACGTCACAGCACACCTTTACATGCCTTTGCATGCCTGTCACATGGGCTTACATGCATGTGTCACCTACCACATGCATACTACACTGTTTGCTTGTCATATGTACCCAGACCCGGGTCTCTATCTCCAGCGCATTTATGCTGGACACCACACACTTGCAGGTACACCCTCAGCTCCTCTTCCAGTCACCCTTGGGACTGTGGGGGTGACCACCATCTCCCTAAAGCCCAAACTGGATGGGAACCTTTCTGGGACCCCAGCCTCACCCTGTCCTTTCTCCCCTGCCCCCGGCAGACAATCGAGTTTGATGAGAGTGCAGGGGCTGTGCTGAGGATCCAGCCACTGCGGACACCCCGGGATGAAAATGTGTACGAGTGTGTGGCCCAGAACTCGGTTGGGGAGATCACGGTCCATGCCAAGCTCACTGTCCTCCGAGGTATTGAGCTCCCCAGGGTGGGTGGGGGAGGAACTGGGCTGCGGACTTTGGGGACAAATACCAAAGGAGCCATGAAAGTGGCTCCACAGCCTCCTGCTTTGGATCTTTTGGAGGACCTGTTCTTCCTTTTCTGGCCTGTAACACTACCGGGGCCCAGAGCCTACTGGTGGGGATTTATTGAGCCTTTGCAGGAAAGAGAAGTGAAGGGGCTCGAGTCATCCTCATTTATTGTCTTGATCATGCTCTTCTGATTACAAGAGGCTGATCCAACTCAAATTGGTTCAAGTAAGAAAGACAGTTAATTGGTTTGTGTAATTAGAATGTCCAGGGAGTATGCTGGCTTCAGGTTCAGCTGGATCCAGCGGCTTATGAGTATTCTCAGGGCTCAGTCTCTCTCTGCCTCTTGGCTTTGTTTTCTTCCATATTGACTTTATCCTCAGTGAGCTTCCCCCGTCCCTCCCCAATTAGCTTGGGTCACATGCCCCTCCCTGAGCTAACTGTGGCTCAGGAGGAATAAATACTGTGATTGGCCAGGTTCCTCCATGGACCCAAAGAGTGAGTCAGGCCACATAGATGGTTTAGTAAGGGGTGGTTACCCCAAAGGAACAAAGATGCCACTTTGTAGCTGTGTGACCTTGGGCAAGTTAATGAACCTCCCTGAGCTGCAGTTTCCTTATTTCTAAAGTAAGGTAATAGGGGCCGGCCCGTGGCTCACCTGGGAGAGTGTGGTGCTGATAACACCAAGGCCACGGGTTCGGATCCCATATAGGGGTGGCCGGTTAGCTCACTTGGGAGAGCGTGGTGCTGACAACACCAAGTCAAAGGTTAAGATCTCCTTACCGGTCATCTTTTAAAAAACAAAAAAAAGGGCCGGCCCAGTGGTGCACTCAGTAGAGTGCGGCGCTTGGGAGCGCAGCAGCGCTCCCACCGAGGGTTCGGATCCCATGTGGAGACTGGTTCCCACTCACTGGTTGAGCGCGGTGTGGGCGCAACACCGAGGGTTGCGATTCCGTTGCCGGTCGCGGTACGGGCTCGACACCAAGGGTTGCGATCCCGTTACCGGTCACGAAAAAAGACAAAAAGGAAAAAAAAAAAAAAAGTAGGGTAATAATGACGCTCACCACAAAGGATAATTACGTGAACCAGATGAGTGAATGAAACAAGAAGTTAACACAATGCCACTCTTAGTCAATTCTGCTTCTCAGTTATTATTTTCATTACTGTTATTCTGGTTTTAACAAGGCAGCTGTCACCAGCCCTTCTGCAGCCCTTAGGTGGGTGGATTCCGCCTGTTGCCTGCAGGGACTTTCCAACAATGGGTCTGAGCCACAAGCAGCCGTTAGCTGGGAGGTTCCCACCTGTGGCTTCTGGTGTCCTTTTCACATTGTCTGGGGCAGCAGAGCTGTGTCCAGCTTGGAGCCCTATGAGGAGGCTTCACAGTGGCCCAAAGGGGGCACTTACTTAATCCCAGTCTCTGGTCCCATGAAACTGGGAGACAGGGCTGGCTTCACTGCCGTGCGACCTATACAGCCACACAGAAAGGCCCTATACTCAGTTTAAAGCTCTGCCGTTGCCGTCTGGAAATTCTTAATAATTTTCTAACAAGAGCCCCACAGTTTCATCTGGTGTCTGTCTGGGTCCCGCCCAGGGGTTGGGGGGTGGATAGAGGGAGGAGCAGGGGGAGGATTTCGCACACCCCGGCCCGCCCCCCTCCTCCCAGCAGATATTTTTGCCCTGACCTTTCCCAGACGCAGACAGAACAGCCTGCCTCCCGTGGTCCTGTGCCAGCCAGCCTCCACTCTGAGCGCTCAGAGAGTTAAAGACAAGCTGTGAATCCATTAACTGCCAGGGCTCTGCGAGTCTGGGAAACATGCTGCCTGTCCCATTCTGGCTTCCATTGCTTGTCTGTTTTGGGGCTGCCTAGAAGGACGTGGGGTGCTTGGGCTGGGCGCTGTCCTCTCCATCAAGGCCCAGGCCCTGAGCCCCAGGGACCCCCTGGCTGAGCCATCAGCAGTGGGGGACAATCTCAGCTCTGATCTGAGCTGCCAGGGTGGCTTCCAGCGCGGCTCCCAGTGCTTCCCACCCCCCTCCTCCTCTGCCGTCTGATTGTGGAGCCTGCTCACGCCTCCCGCGCTGTTGTTTTAATTAAACTCCGAGGAATTGGGCACAATGTGGTACGCGATGTACATTTTTGTTTAATTAGGAGCTCTCAGCAGCGTCAGGCAGCCACGGCCTCCCCCTGTACCCTGGCTGGCTGCGGCCCACACACGCTCACGGGGACCCCCACAGCCCTGCGTACACACGGGGAATGCTCGTGCATGGATAAGAGGGTGCAGGCACACACACGGGGGAGGGGCGCGCACGCTGCACACATGCACCCACACACAGTGTGGGCCTGCTAATGCTCAGCAGAGGCGCCTCTGGAGGCACACGTGCACACGTGTGAATACACATACACACACAGGAACACCCGCAGACCCAGCCTCGTGCACCGAGGCCAATTGAGGCTTAGTTATCCTGGCCTTAACCTCCAGTGACATCATAGGTGACCAATTAGATCCACTTGTGAGGTCGTCCTGGCCTGGGGTCCAGGAAGGATGGATGGGGCTTGAACCACCCCGGACAGGGTCTGGCTGCCCCCTCAGGCCACTGATGGCTCCAGACCTGGCTCAGGCGGGTTGCAGCTGGCATGGCACAGCTTTCTCTAGGTTCAGCCAGGGCTGGGATCGAGTCCTACATCCTGGTGGTATGACCTGGGACAGGTGCGCATCTGCCCGTGCCTCAGTTTCCCCTCTGTGAAATAATCCCTGTAGCTTCTTGTGCCTGGACAGCGCATGGTGCATAGTTAGCTCTCGGTCTTAGGGCTGGGGCTGTTTTCCCTCCAAGCAGTGACTCCCAGGCTGGGACTACAGTTCTCTCCTTCCACTGGGGAAACAGGTGTTGGTTCTGGCCCCTGCCCCCCTCTCCCTTGTACGATCTTGGCCTCTTGCCTCTCTGCTGCCTGCCCGGGCTCAGTTCTCTCTCAAGATGGTGGCCGTCACTCACCTCTGTCTCCAGCCTCCCCCTTACTGTGCCAATGTCTCTTCTGGGCTTTAGTAAGGAAGTGGATGTGTGTCGTTTCCATTTTACACAAATGGCAGCATTGTCTACACCAGGAGGCGGCAAACTTTCTCTATAAAGTGCCGGAGAGTAAACATTTTCAGCTCTGCAGGCCAGATTGGCCTCTGTCACGGCACCTCAACCCTGTCATCGTAGTAGGAAAACGGTGGTAGATGACACACAAATGAACAGGCAGTGGCTGTGTGCCAATAAAACTTTATTAACAAAAAAAGACGGAGGGCCGGATTTGGCCCTGGGGCTGTAGTTTGCGACTGTTGGTTTACATCATCTCTGACTTTGAACTTTGCACACTCAGCAACATCTCTTGGACTTTGTTCCAAATCTGTTTATACTGCGATCCCTCCCTCTGGTTTCTGGTTTCAGTATCCCATCTAGGGATGGTCTGGCCTCTGTATAACGCATCCCTATCCATGGATGTTTAAATCGTTTCCAAGATTCTGCTGTTACCACTAGCGCCTCAGGAATAACTCTGTGCATCGCTTCTTTAGTGCATGGGCATGTGGAGACTGCAGATGGCGAGCTGAGGGCTTGGGGGTCTCTGGTGGGTGGTACCAAATTCCCTCTCTCAGAAAAGAAAAATTTGGTTTTTTGTTTTTTGTTGTTTTTTTTTTAAAGATGACCAGTAAGGGGATCCTAACCTTGACTTGGTGTCGTCAGCACCACGCTCACCCACTGAGCTAACCGGCCATCCCTATATGGGATCCAAACCCGTGGCCTTGGTGTTGTCAGCACCACATTCTCCCGAGTGAGCCACAGGCCGGCCCCTAAAAATTTGTTTTTAATTGAGAAAAAAATTGTAAGCAAAACCAAATCCCCTCTCGCAGTTCAGGCTGTAGCATCCAGTGTTCCTGCCAGCTGTGGGTGAACTTGCCTGCTTCTGTTTCTCGTTCTTTGGCGTCTTGCTTACTCTTTGGTCCCTTGTCCATCAGGGATGGATGAGGCGTATTCTCCTGCTAGAGCTGCGGTAACAAAGCACCACAGGCTGGGTGGCTTAAACAGCAGACACTTACGCTCTTGCAGTCCTGGAGGCTGGAAGTCCTAGATCAAGGTGTGGGCAGAGTGGGCTTCTTCTGCGACCTCTCTTCTTGGCTTATCCATGGCCGTCTTCTCCCTGTGTCCTCACACGGTCATCCCTCTGTGTGTGTCTGTGTCCTAATCTCCTCTTAATAAAGACACCAGTCATATGGGATTAGGGCCCACCCTAATGACCTCATTTTACTTTAATCCCCTCTTTAAAGATCCTTTCTCCCTGTCAGTCACATTGTGACATTCTGGGGGTTAGGGCTTCAGCATAGGAATTTGGGGAGGGGACACAGTTCAGCCCATCACAAGGAGCTGATGGCTATTTTAATTTGTGCTGAGGAGGCTGCCCCTAGCCCAGCAGGTGGACCCTTTGTCCACTGAGGATGACAGGCCAGAGCAGAGCTGGGGGTGGGGGGGGTGTTAGCAGTTGCACCTGGAGGCTGAGGCCGCGGTGCTGGAGATGGAGAGTAAGACGTGGGAGCGGCCGGCCCACCTGGGAGGCCCTAAGCTGCCTCCCCGCCCCGGCGTCAGCCCCCGCTGAATTAGGGCATGGAGCCTGTGGTCGCGGTTTGCAGAGCTCTTGAATGGAGGCGACCCATCAATTAGCCCAAAGGCACGTTCCCACCGCTCATGGGAACTCAAGGACTGAGAGTCCCCAGGGAGTTTATTTTCCCCCCTTGTACACATTCCCCCCTCCCTGGCCCCAACACACACACGTCACCCTGAAGGGAAGCTAGACCCTGGCCAGCAAAGAGGGCTACTGAGGACGGGGGCATGGTGCCTGTCATGGTGTTGATAGCAGCTGGGATTGAGTCATTCAATCATTTATGGAGCCAGGCCCTGTGCTGGGTGCTAGGGACCCTGCAGTGACAGATACATCATCACAAATGGAGAGCGATGCTCCAGAGAAGTCGTTTGGGAGTCTAGGGGATCTATACCAGAGGAGCATTTGCTAGTCCGAGATGATGTTTGGGTAAGTGGATGGAGGCGGGAACGGGGATTCCAGGCCAAGTGGACAGCAGAAATGGGCGACCCAGGAGAGAGCTGCTGACTTCGAGGAAGGCAGGACCAGCATGGCTGGACTAGAGAGAACGAGGGGACGGAGGGTGCAGGAGACGGGGCTGCCGAGGCTGGCAGGGGCACCAGGGTTCCTCCAGAGGGTCGGGGGGGCATGGAAAGGGGTCCGGCGGGGGGGCATGGGTTTTATGTGTAGGAAAGCTCCCTCTGGCTAACCCAGGCTCTGCACCCTCAGCACTATGGGTACAAGGGGCTGGATCATTGCGGTGGGGCTGTCTCATGCAGTGTAGGCTGCTGAGCAGCATTCCTGGCTTCCACCCACTCCATGCCAGGAGCACCCCCCACTTGCGACAAGCACAGATGTCCCCGCCTCAGCACTATGGGTACAAGGGGCTGGATCATTGCGGTGGGGCTGTCTCATGCAGTGTAGGGTGCTGAGCAGCATTCCTGGCTTCCACCCACTCCATGCCAGGAGCACCCCCCACTTGCGACAAGCACAGATGTCCCCGGACATTGCCCAGTGTCCCCCAGGAGGCAAAATCTCCCTATTGAGAACTGTTGGTTTAGCCTGTTGCCCTCCCATGTGTCCCTGATGGGAGACTGAGTCTCCCAGTTGCACAGAGAAAGTGTCAGGCCATGGCAGATTCCTGGGTCCACAGCTGAGGTCACAGCCAGGCAGGGACTAGACTAAGGACCGGCCAGTCCCCAAGCCCCAGGCCTGGAGGGCTGGCCCTGCTATACTCAGGCCTCTGTCCTGTTTCTCCCCTGTCTCCACCTTCAGAGGACCAGCTGCCCTCAGGTTTCCCCAACATTGACATGGGCCCCCAGCTAAAGGTGGTGGAACGGACACGGACAGCCACCATGCTGTGTGCCGCCAGTGGCAACCCTGACCCCGAAATCACCTGGTTCAAGGACTTCCTGCCTGTGGACCCCAGTGCCAGCAATGGGCGCATCAAGCAGCTGCGATCAGGTGAGTGTGGGTGGCTGGAAGGATGTGGGAGGCATGGGGGCTGGCAGAGGAGCATCTCCAGGGCCCAAGCTCTGAGACTAATGGGGTACAGACAGGCAGGGGTGATGGACCGCTATGGAGGATAGTAGGGGGAGAATTCTTCAATGCCTGACCAGTGGGGATATAATGGACCCAGACAACATGCACAGGGAAGGGACCTATAGAGGGCTACAGGGGGAGAGTGTCTCCAGTATTCAAGCAATGGGGTCTGAATGAGGCACAGACAGTTGTGGGTGATAGGAAGCCACAGAGAAGGGTGGGTATCTACAGTGCCTAAGCAGTAGGGAGCCATGGAAGGTGGCAGAGGGAGAGCATCTTTTATGCTGAAGCAGTAGGCATGTCCAGTGAAGATATAATGGAGCCCAGGCAGGTAGGGGTAGAGGAGAGCTGCATCAGGCAATGGCAGGAGAGTATTTCTAGTGCTGAAGCTGTGGAGGCAGACTGAGCCAAGACAGGTGAGGTGATGGGGAGCCATAGAAAGCTACAGGGAGAGAGTGTCTCCAAGGCTGAAGCAGTGAAGACGTAGTGGGCCAAGACAAGCAGAGGGTGGGGGAGGGTTGGATCTGTGATGGGCCACAGACAGGCCATCCAGCCTGTTCATTCAGGCCCCGGCTGGGCTAGGGAGACCTTGGGACAGAGCACAGGACCTAGCCACCTCGGGGATGGTTGGTTCCACAGCTGTGTCTCGCCAGAGCCACATGCCTCATCTGTGAGTCCATCTGCCTGGGGGGCTGTGTGTGCATTGCTTCTGTCATTCAAGCCTCACGACACGTCTGCGTGTGTGTGTGTGGGCTCCCTGTGCTGGCCTGCCCTGCTTCCTGTGTGTGGGGGCACAGGTGTGCAGGCGGGCTATCAGCACACCTGGGTCCACCTTCCCACTCCCAGAGCAAACCTTGTCCATGTGCATCTCAGTCACACGTGCATCCCAGGCACATGCACACAGGGCAGTGACCCGTGTGCACATACTCTGCACCTCCCTGGTGCTCGTGCGTGGGGACTCAGGTGTGGCATGGTGTGTCTGTGTGTTGGGGCACACATGTATGCGTGTCTTTGTCACAATTTGTTTTTTCAGTTGCACAGAGCATGAGGCCCTGCCCCTGTTCGGGTTCCTCTTGAAATCACCCTGCACCTGCCACGCACATCTCTTTGCTTTCTCTCTCCCCTTCCTTCAAGGACCCCACCCTGGAAGCCATCCGTCCCTTGCTGCCCATCCTCTGCTTTCTGCTATCCCCCAGCAAAGCCCCCAGCCCTGAAAAAGGGGCAGACGTTGAGCCCAGAATTTCCTCCCTGGAGAGACCCGGCCTGGGAAGAGAAAGCACTTTCCTCCTGTCTTCGAACTGTCTGGGAATATTTGCAGCGCGTAGGGCTCAGCAGACGTGGGGCATCCCATTGTCTGAGGCTAGCTTCTACCATCAGAGCTCAAGGACAGGAAAATGATTGAGAGCACGGAGACCTCAGAGCCTGATCTCCTGGGCTCGGGCCAGCTCTGTATCCTAGCACAGGCCACCCTCTCTGAGCCTCAGTATTCTCATAAAATGCACCTATTTCGTAGTGTTATTGTGACGTGTCTGCCGTGATATGCCTGGCACGTACTCAGTGCCCAGTGCACGTAAGATGCTCTATGAGATCATCATTCAGACTTCCTCTGTCTGCCCCACCCCGCCCCAGTGAGGATACAGGCTTCTGAGTAACCATCATTAATGTTCCTGTTTTCTTTTCTTGTCCCTCTGTTGTAAACGTTCAGAAACCTTTGGTAAGTCTGATTTCTTCACCACGTCAACAACTAACGCCCCTCTCCTTGACCCTCTCCTGCCTCCCCACCAAACTAACAGCCACTGTGACAGTAACTGTGACCCACCCCACGTGGCATGTTTACTAACTCCCCCCCCCCAACTGGCCACCCAGGCCCCCCGCAGCCGGGCACCAGTGGGCTGCAGAGAGAGATGCCCAAAAGGAAAAGAGGAAAAAAGACAAGTCCATGAGGGGAATCCTTGGGCTAGTGGAACCTCACACCTAACAGAGTCCCCCTGTCCCATTGTGGGCCTTAGCACTGCTGGAAAAGGATTTAATTACAGAAGTTTGGGGGCTGGGGCTGGGAGTAGGGTAGGGAATTTTCCAGCTGGGCTGGTACTGGGTACTTCTCACTGACTTTTCCCAGCATCCAGCCTGAATCCCCTGAAACCAACTGCTGGGCTAATTCTTACTAAAGTGAGAGTGACTAACATTGGCCCACGTAGTCCTCTCTCATCTTCCTCAGGGTGGGATGTGGAACTACCTTTAGTACTTGAGACACATTCTTTACACTCAGTATAGTGGCCATAGGCGATTTGGTCCAAAGCCCAGTTCCTCTACCATCATCATCAGAGTGTAGTGAAAACAGTCTAAAACAAGGGCCGACCTAGATTCCCACCGACCCCCGTTCCAGTTCTCCATGGTGTTACCATAGGCACATTCCCATTTGCTCCTGTGTAAAGCAGGCAGAATGACCTCATGGGGTTGAGGATATCTCCAGTGATAATATGGGAGCCAGAAAAAGTTTAGGCGAGAGGGTCCCCAACCTGGGAGGCTGGAGAGCCAGGTTTGAGATCCACTCTTGCCACTGGCTCATGGTGTGGCCTCAGAAATTCCCTGGCCCCCTCTGGGCCTCAGTTTGCCCATCTGTGAAATGGGCCTGGGCCATGCAGAAGAAGCTGTTCTTTCACCTGTCTAGCGACTCCTGGCAACTTCTCTGCTTGGTCTTGGGGGTCTGCTTGTCCCCAGCCAAGTTATCAGCCCTCATCAGCAGAGAGAAGTTGGCCTGCCCCCTGTATCTCCCTAGGAAAATGAGCTGAAGGTATAAAATTCCAGCCCAGGACTTTGTTTTCCTGCTCCCCAGTTGTCCTGCTCCCAGGGCTCACATAGACAAATAGAAGACAGGTCTTTCCTCTTTTCCTTTTGGAAGTTAACAAGGCTGCAGGGCTCTCCCTCTGCCCCGGGTTCCCCTAGCCTGTTCTTCCTACTTAGCCTGTGTCTGTACCACCTTCCCTCTGCTTTATTAATGCCCGGCCCTAGGGCACTAACCCCTCCCACCCCCGTCTCTAACAAGATTCCTGAGACCCATCACTTCCTGTCCCTCTGGTCTGGACTTGGAAGCAGCCCCTTACTGGGCCCCCCAAGAAGAAAATAAAGAAAGGAGGTCCTGAACCTCCCACCCTTGGCCCAGAGAAAAAGTAACCAAAGGGGCCAGGCCAGGCCAGGTTGACAAAGCTCCCCAGGGCATAGAGATGCCCCTCAGGCTAATCCAGAGAGGCTTCCAGACTCAAACCCAACTCTCGGAGATTGCCACCTCCTACAGGAAGCCCTCCTGCTTGACAAGCCCTCATGCCTCCCTCGCTCCTCGGAGGCTCCCCCTGTCTTCCTCAGCAAAGCCTACAGCATCCGAAGAGATGAGTCTAGGAAAAAGGAGTTAGAACTGACCTCTCCCACCATCACTCCTAGTGACTTCCTGTGGTATTTGTCCTTCCTGTACCTATTAGTTTGGGGGCGCTGGATTATTAATGTTTGATACCAGGAACAGGGATCTTCCACCAGTGGGTAGAGTAAAGATTGTACTGAACCTGAAAATACAACTGTGGCTATTTTGGGCTCGTCCTGCCAGTAGACTATAGATACAGAAATGAGTAATGGTGCTGGCAGGTGTAATTGACTGATCATGATGGAGACATACGGTAGTTGCACAATAATGTGACCAAGATTCAGAAAGGCTAAAATTTACATGCAAGTTGTTTGTTGTTTTCAGGCCAGGTGATAACGCTGAGCAGGAAATTGCAGCAACCATACCTGACAAGGAGAAGAACAAGGGCTTGGCATATTCTGTCATGAAGGTTTGTGTCATACGTCCAGGCAAGTCACCAGGCCTAGCTGATGTGCTTGCCAAGGGTGAGAAAAATTTAGAAAGGGTAGTGAATGAGGGAGAAAAATAATTATTGCCTTGGGACAAGCTAAGGCAGTGGACACTGTAGATTGTTTCACTAACTTCCATATTATTCATTTTTAAAAATGACTCGTGAATACTACATTGAAGAGTTTGTGCTAGAGTAGAATTGAAGAAATCGTGGACAGCCAGAACTGTCAGTAGATCTTAGTACAAGGGGTAGATTATATGAGGTTTTTTTGGTGAGAAAAGTGGCATTCCCTAGGCTAGCTCTGACTTAAATCAAAGCTCTGGTGGGTAGTACTTGAGCAAGTGGGCACGACCCATCTCAAATGCCTGCCAACACTCTGCTTTTCGGGTGAGGGAGTGACTCAGAGCTTTTTCGGAAGCCACAGAAACTTGCTGACCCTTCAAACATGTGCAGCCTAAAATTGCATAGAAATGAAAACCTACTGAAGCCATCTTCAGAGAAAGGAGGACAGGAGTTATTAGATAATTGGACCAGTCTCCATTTATGGTGAACATACTAGGCACATTCTATACAGTTACTCTAAAGGTCCTCTGCAGGTTTGCACCTCAATTACCCACAGAAAGAACCAGTTCATTAATGCATCTTTTTTTTTTCCTGCTTTTTTTGTTTTTTGCTTTTTCTTCTCACATGCCTAATACATCCTGTTCTCTCGCTACTGCTTGTTGTGATTACCTCCTAAATAAATCATCTGCACGCAATTTCTGGTTGCAAGATTTGCCTTTGGGAAGACTCTAAACCAAGATTACAAACAAGAACATCTATTAGTACATGTAATGTAAATGTAATTATTTCTGCTGAATATTTTTGAAATTTATTTATTGGCTGTTGTGAACTGTATGGGGGGTGGTGTGCATGTGTAGAGAAAAATAGAGGATGGAATTAATGATGTAACATATTATTTATTTTGCTAGGCTGTGGACAGAGCAGTGAACACAACAAACATTCTACCCTCTTTCTAAAGGAAGAAGGAATTTAATTTGTTCAAATAATTGAAGTGTGGCTAGAGTGTTGTGTTCA